CACTCAGGAACTTCAAAACGCTCGCCTGTAATGTTTAGCGCCTCGGAAGCGGCAGGACTTTTCCTAAGGAAACGGCAACCCTCCCCGCGCCTGGACGCGGAGGCAGAGCAGTGGTAGAAGCTGAGTTTGACGTCACCGGTGGTGGGAGGAGCCGGCGAGGCTGAGAGCGACTTCCGGAAGAGGGGAGCGCCCAGTTGCCGGCAGGGAAGGGAGATGCGGCACGTGACTCTTGACGCACGAAGGCCGGCGGGGCGGGGCGGGAAGCGCGGTTGGTTCCTGCGCTAGGCGGCTCGTCCCAGCTCCTGGCGGCGACTGAGCCCCGTCAAGAGTGTAAGTTAGTTAATTTGGGCGTTCAGGCTGTGGAAGTGGAGGAACTAGGGTCAGTACGAGGGGTCGTGATGCTTCTCATTCTAAGTTTCTTAGTTCTTGGGCTAAGGACTCAGCCAGAGTGCCAGCGTGCGAGGTGATTCTCAGCCGATCCATCTGCCCAGAGTATTGTTAAAAGAGTTTCTGAGATTTCTGAGAGACAGCCACTAAGCAGAGGGAGGCGGGTGGACTCTCGGGCTAACTTGGACGGGCTGTGTCGGGAGAGGAGTAACTCGGGGCGGGGCGGCGCGGCGCGGCCGAGAGCCCAGACCAAGGCCGAAGGTGGACCTTCCCTACTGGTCGCATCGTGCAGATGACCTCCGCGCACACCTGGTCTGTGGGGAAGGAGTGAGGACAGCGCCACCCTTTGGATTTTGAGGGAGAAGGGGAAGAAAAGGCAGTGAGGTCTGGTTAGATGATTTATTAGCCTCTTCAGGGTTTGAGGGAGTCTCTGAGTTCCCCATTGTGAGATTTAAAGGCCCCACTTGAAAAGAAGCTTGTGGTTATGATAAAGGTTTTCTTTAGTTTGGCGCCCCTAATTTGAGAGAAGGGTTTTTGAATAAGTGTCCCATTTTACTTGATCACAACTTGGGAAGTAGTTAACTGGTTGTAAGGGGCGGTGAAGTCAGAAAGGAATAAGTGATTTTATGTAATAATTGAGGATTGCTTTAGTGAGGCTGCCGCTTCAGAGCCTTAGCTACGATCTTGGAACAGCCGTGTTCTTCTGTGGTAAACACCAAGAAGCTGTTTTACTAGATTATTTTTAACTTTTTGAGGGCACAGCTCTCCGTTCATGCGGCTTCGATGGTTTTTGGTGCCTTGCACGTACCATGTTGCTAACGATATTGTGTTGTGACCTCTGAGTTCTTTTCTGCTGAGAAAAAAAGCTATCATTCATCGTAGGTCACTTCTCAACCTCTGTATGGAAGTGATCTTTCTATGTAATTATTATACCTTATGAATACATTAATGAACACTTAATGGAAACAGCAGTGAGTTAGGAAGTTGAGACTTGGATTTTAATTTTTTATTTCGTAAACATTGAAATATTTTGAAGTGAACATAGACCTCTAGATAGATATTCCACTTCTAAGTCCTTCAGTATGCATCTCCATAAAAACATATTAACTCTATAGCAGAAATATCAGTTTTAATTATAACATCTTAATGTTATGTAATATTCTAATATCTAATATTCTGTGTTTTCAGATTTATCCATTTATCTCCCAATTGTCCTTTACAGCTGTTTTATACAGACCATAATCCAATTAAAGACCACACTTTTTTTGTGTGTATTTCAAGTCTCTTTTAATCTAGAATAGTCATCCCCCCAACACATTTTTTTTCTTTCTGATTAGCTAAAGAGAGGAGACTTACTATCCTGTAAAATATCTCCCCTTCTATAATTGACTACTTTCTCTTGGTGTTAAGCTTACCTCTTTAGTGCTTGAATTTCTAATAAACCTAGACATTAATGCTAAAGGCTTGATAATGTTGGTGACATCATGATCTCCCTCCTAAATTTATGTATTTTGTTTTGTTTTTCTCCTTAAAACAAAGTAATCTATGAGGTGTTATTTTGCTTCCTAAAAATGTCTAACTCCCCTATCACTTAATGGACTTAACAATAATTGATAATTCTCGCCCAATAATTTTATTAGGGGTTGCAAAATGATAGTTTCTAATTCTTTCATTCCATCTGAATTTATTAATTTGCATTCTTCTGTAAAGTAGAAGCTTACTTTTATAAGCTGGCGACATTTACTTACCCCGAAATACACCCTCTGTTGGAAAGTTAAAAAAAATGTTTAGTTCTTTGATTACCAATTTTGAAAGTAAGTTTTAGGGCCTCAAAGAGTGACAAATTTTGAGTTTTTGTAGCTTTAACTTTTCTGAATGTCATACACTTGTTGATTTTTGTTATATTTTAATCAATTTTTGATTCTCAAATTTTGATGCTTCTAGAACATGTCTCAAAGAATTCTGTGTAATTATTATAATTAAAAAAACTCCTTGAACATTTTTTAGTAGATGTAACACTGGATTGAGTTGGAGCATGAGGCTAGGTTTTGATCTTTTTTGCTTTTGCCATGATCTAGCTAGGTGACCTTTAAACAGTTTGCTTAACTTCTTTGGGCCTCATTTTCTCCGTCTGTACAAATAGAGAGTTTTGGCAAGGTTCCCTGCAGCTCTGATATTTTCTGACTTAAATAAGAAGACAAAACTTATTTAGATAAGTTGTACGTTACAAAATTCATGCATTTAAAGTATACAAGTCAGTGATTTTTAGTAATTTTACCAAATGGTGCAGCCATCACTGTAAATTAGTTTTAGAACATTTTCATCTCTTTAATAAGATTCCTCATGCCCATTTACAGCTAGTTTCCAGTCTTATCCTCAGATAGCTACTAATGTCCTTTTTGTGTCTATAAATTTGCCTTTTCTGACCATTTCATGTTAATAGAATTATATAATACCTGATCTCTTGTGTCTTGCTTCTTTCACTTAGTGTAATGTTTTTGAGGTTCATTCATGATGTAACGTGTCATTAATCTATTCCTTTGTATTGCTGAATAGTATTCCACTTTATGAATTTTTTTTTAATCTATCCATTCACCAATTGATGGACATTTAGTTTCCCAGATTTTGGTGATTATGAATGTTTCTGTGAATATTCATATGCAAGACTTTTGTGGATACATATTTTCATTTCTCTTGGGTAGATACCTATGAAAGTGATAGGTTGTATGGTATAGTTCTATGTCTGACTTTTTGAGAAACTGCCAAAGTGTTTTCCAAAGTGGCTGTTACCATTTTTCCATACTCGAAGCAATGTATGAGGGTTTCCAGGCTCTGATTTTTGATGATCTGGAGATATTCTGATTGATTTGAGATTATTTTTCCTTATTCTTAGCATTTTGCTAGCAACAAACTACATTTTCCTCAGATACCATTAATTCTTAGTTTTAATCAGTGGGAATAGTTCCTAAAGGAAATAAAAGTAGATCAATCTGTTATAAAATAAAATTGAGTTTCTTAGTGTTTTTAAAAAAAATTTCTTTTTACTTTCATATTAAATGAAGAATGGTAGTTATACTATTATTAATGAAAATAAGCTAAGACACAAATTAATAAGATATGGTCTTGCCTAGTTATAATAATAAAACTATATTCCAATGATGGCATATAATTTATTAATCTGACATCTTTAATATTATCAGTTCAATCTTTATTGAGTATGTATATTCTTAGCATGTTAATAGAGTTAGATTATTTCTCTTGACATTTGTGTATACTATACTTGATAAAGTATAAACTATTTTTGATAGAATAACAAAACTGACTTTATATCAGCAGAATGAAATTGCATTGCATGAAGTTATCATGTCTGAGCTAGGATTCAAAGTGTGGGAAGAAGTAATGACGTTATAAAGCTCATAAGTACTCAGTAGTACTAAACTTCTAGTTCCAAAAGTGGCACATTGTCACTATAGCAACTACCCATACTTATTTGGATCTGAAACCCAGGCAACGGATAGTGGATAAGACTATATATCAAGATAGATAATGTGCTCTGGTGGGTTGATTGGTCTGGTCTGTTGATGGTCAAGTATTTGTACCATTTTTCTTATGTTTATTATGATTGATTCAAGTTTCATGAAGTTATCTTAATTTGTATTAATGTGTTTTTTTGGAGAGAAATTAAACATTCAGTATTCTTATTGTATTCTTTTCTAACATGCCAAGCATAGTGCTTTTTCCAATTAGGTTATTAGGATATTAAATATATTTGTACTGTAGCTCTTTCTCCATTATTATTTGGCAAGTTGTCAAACAGTAGTTATAAAAATATAACTTTTATTTTGAATCACTTGCAATATTATAACAGAAAAAAATACCATGACAGATTTTATTTTAGCTACATCATGAAAAGGTGACTAAGGGTACCAATAAACATGCAAATTGCCTAAAGACAAGCATCTTTTGAAAAAATGTTTTTTTTCTAAACAAGGTCTGGGTTTCAGACACTGTTGGCAAATGGAGATAACATAATTTCCTTCCAATTATCTCTTAACATGCATCCATAAATTTACTTAGAGGCACAGGAACCTCCTGGGAAAATAGAATTGGGAACCCGATTCCTTTCTCTCCACCCTGTCTGATGGATTGGAATAGTTCCTGGTGAGGTCATATTACAGGAAAAAGATGGACTGAAGGGAATTTGTCTTAGGGCAGGGAAAGTCTGCCCTGATGAACTGACTGCAAGACAAAGGATCACATTTATTTTTTCCCTAATTTTTTCCCAAATTTTCAGAAATTTGTTGTGCAAGTTTGTGAATTGGAAGATCTATATCAATAAAGCAGAAATTAATAGCACATATTCTAAGAGACAGAAACAGTGAGAGAAGAATTGGGTCTTGAGCAATGTGGTAGTAAGTGGGGAGGACTGTAACTTACCAGAGGATGCTTCCCCTATTGGGAAGGTGGAAGGTTTTTAGATTTTCAGAAGACACTAACATACTATTTTTTTTTAAGGGTGAAATGTCCTGATTGCCAGCTCATTCAAATTACAAATATTCTGTGGGCTAAACAAAACCGGATTACATGTAGGATACCAGGTTACCATTTCTTTATCTAAGAGCTCTCATACATGCGGGCTGTGGCCACGTTGTGTTATAATAGCAGGCATGCTAGCTAAAACCTGTGCTTTAAGTCCACTCCCAGAGCTATTTTTTTTGCATTCATTCCTTTCAGAGTTTAAAGAAATAGGAAAGAAAAAAAGGTTTAAAGTGTTTATAGCATTATTGATTTCTTGCCTTTATTCCAGTGGATGGGTGTTTAATTAGAGTATCTTGTGTTGCTAAAAATATATTGAAAATCAAGTATTGCTGTTTTTGATGCAGTTTATTCAACCAATAGGGTTCCTTGACTTCTAGTTACAACCAGTAAGTGGCTGATTTTAATTACCTTAGTTGGAGTTTGACAGCTCACATTATAGCTAGTATCCCACATAGGACTATTACTCAAGGGGCATTGTCTCTAAGTAATCATTTAAATTCGGTCCTTTGGTTGCTTAACTAGCTTAAGTAATGAGGGGACTTTTCTGTTTCCTCCCTCCCTCCCTAACTCTCTTCCTTCTTTCCTCCCTCCCTCCCTAACTCTCTTCCTTCTTTCCTCCCTTCCTTCCTAATCCCTTCCTTCCTAATCCCTTCCTTCCTAATCCCTTCCTTCCTAATTCCTTCCTTCCTTCCTTCCTTCCTTCCTTCCTTCCTTCCTTCCTTCCTTCCTGTAGACACTATAGGGAGTTTACAGGACATCCATAAACAGACATCAGAGCATACCTGAGCCTCCCAGAGATTAGAATGGGGAACTAAAAACAGGAACTGAGCTTACTCTCTTTATCTCTGAGTTCAGTAGTCTCTCTTTCATTTTTCTCGGTAGGCTTCCTTTGCCTTTTCATTTTGCTTAGGGCCCCAAACTGCTAGTCTTTACTAATCTACAAGGTATTCTAGCTCAATACCTTCATTTGCAAATTTGTTCTTTGTCTTCATTTGAAATTCTTGAGAGAATCTGACTGGGTTGTCTTTGGGAGATAGGATACTGAACAGTTGGCGGCATTCCTATTGATTAAGGCAAAGTGTTCCTGCTGTTAACCTTAAAAATAAAACTGCCAGTTTATTCAGGAATAGCAAACAATGGGTTTATTCAGGAATAGCAGAGAATTGCAATCTAGGACATGCAAATTATGACAAAACTGTAGGCAAGTCCACCTGAAAAAGGAGAGGAACACTCTTCTGTAGAATAAAAGGGTGACGTTGGGAAGGCTGTTATAAACAAAAAGTCCTTTGGAGTAAACTGGGAGTTCAAAGTATAGTGACTTTTCATTGGCTGAGCTGTGACTGGGTTACCGCCAACTGAGAAGCTGGGATGGATTAATCTTCCTACTGGAGCAGTGGAGTAGTATCCACCTGCAAGGTGCATCTCTTCCTGTTGGATTTGGAGTTGATGAGTGGTAGGACATGAGAGCTTCTCTGCTGAACCTTCTGACTCCATTTTAGTGAGGTTTCCACTGCCATAGTCCACGTAGCTGAATTTAGGAGGATGGAGTAATGTGCTGGATGTGGCGATTAGGATGAAGAGAAGAAGCTTTCTTCAGAACAAGGTGTAGGCCAGCAACCACTCTGAATTCTCTCTAGTACATGGGTCCCATGGCTCAGTGACTTTATCCAGAGATTCCTTGAACTCTGTATTGAACAAAAATAGCCTATGCTGACAACTGATCTTTTAGATAGTTATTGACTAGTCTTCAAATAGTTTCTTTGGCTTTCTTTACTCCTGGTGTACTCACTAGACTTTTTCAGGTTATACTAGTTGAATAGCTGTAACACTGTCATGAAGACATATATCCTTCATGGTCAATTACTGCAATATTCTCATTGTGGAATTTAATATTTAATCCTTTGGGAAAATCTCTTAAGCCTATTAGGTGCTGAAAAGGAGAAATGAAGCGAATATTTTCATACAACAACATTAATTGGAATGTTACTTTGCTCCAGGGCAAAGGGGTTTCACTTGATATGCGAAGTGTAATCAGTTTTAGAGGTGAAGGAGTACTATGTTGAGGATTTTGGATTTTGAGATTGTTCTCTTTTTCTGCTGGGAAGAATGCCATGTTTGATTGTGACGTCTGCCATGGTTTGGAATTCTTTTTTTTTTTTTTTTTTAATATTTATTTATTAGAGAGCATGAGCAGGGGAGGGGCAGAGAGAGAGAGAAAGAGAGAGAGAGAGAGAGAGAGAGAGAGGGAGGGAGGGAGAGAGAGAATCCCAAGCAGGCTTGGTGCTATCAGTGTGGAGCCCCATGCAGGGCTCGATCCCACGAACTGTGACATTATGACCTGAGCCAAAATCAAGAGTTGGACTCTGAACCAAATGAGCCACCCAGGCACCCCTGCCATGGTTGGAATTCTTGACCTGAATGACCTATGTTTTCTATTCCTAGTTTGAGTTAATTATTCTCTGAATGATACAATATATTAGTGTTTGTTTTCTACTTTCCTTTTGTTGTTATGTGTACCTTCTTCAGTGGATTGTATTTGTGCCAATTCCTTATGTTATGAGTATCACATAAGTGTTAAATTTTATAAGTAACTTTTTTCAAATTAAGAATTTTTAAAAGCCACAATATTATCAAATGAATTTCTAAATATAAAAAATTGTCAGCTTTTAACTGGATTCGCTAGAAATGTGAACTACTTCTTCACTTACATTGGATATTAACAGGGGTGTAGTGGGGTGGGGGGAACTCATACTTCTATGCCACAAACAAAATATAACAAATTTTTCATTCACATGAAGGGTACAGTTTCTTCCATAGTATTCACTTTATATACAGGAAGATTTTAACATTTCTAAAATCTACCCTTTAAGCAAGAACTTTCTAGTAGAGGATTAACTACTTTTTTTTTCTTAATTGGAGTAATACGTGAACATGGTAACAATAACAAAAAAGTACTTTTGATGAAAAGCAGCAATTCTCATTCCTTGCCTGCCATTGTTAGGCCTATCCCCAGAGACAAACATTTTTAACTATTTGGGTGTTTGGTTCTTTAGGTAACTTTAAATTACATGCTTTGCCTACACTCCTTGATCGATTAAACATCATCTGTCTACTCCCTTTTAAAAGATGAAGACTTTTACTCCCACATCTCTCTCAATCTTTCTACTAATATTTGATAGTTAATTATGAGTTTTAGGTGTTCTCTTCATTCTTATATTAATGTGCTTTTGCTACACAACAATCACAGTTTTTTTCCTGTACAGGAGGGTGTATTATGGTAGATTAGATAGCTGTTCAGCAGTTCCTCACTTCTCCTTCATCCACCACCATGGGAAGAGTATAATTCCTCTTCCAATTAATGGGAGGCTTGGTCTTGCAACTTGTTTTGGCCAAGAGAATGCAGAAAGTGACAGTGCACCAGTTTTGAGTGTAGACCTTACAAGGCATTAAATGTTTCTCTTTGCCACTTAGGGAGTTTCTAACCTTTGTATAATAAAACATGTCCCAGTCATCTGTTGGGCACCATTGAACCCAGATGGAGAAACATGAAGATGTCAACTTCACCTGCAGCATGAAACCAGAGCTGCCTCAATTCACCTGAAGAACTTATTTCTAAGTGAGAAATCATATGTTTATTTTATGTATGCTACTGAGATTTTGTACTTGCTTATTTTGCGTACAAAATCTGATTAATATAAAAATGAGTACCTAGAAGTAGGGTGCTGCTGTAACAAAAATTTTAAATGTGTCATTGGCTTTGAGACTGGGTGGTGGTCACCAAGAAAACTATTATAGGAGGCCGGAAAAACTGGTAAACTATATAATGTAGTACAAAAATATTTGATAAAACTGTTGTCTGTAGTAACACAGAAGACAGCAAATGTTACTAAAAAAAGTGAGTATTGGGCAAGGAAAATTCAAGGCAGAATGTTGAAAGCATGAGTTGGTTGCTAATAGGTGGACAGGATAGGGTACAACAAGAAAATTCAGTCTACCACATCTGACCTCTTGGCTGTAATTATTCACGTCGCTCCCATTCCACCTGCCTAGTTTGTCATATTAATACGTATGTATGATGGAACATGCCAGTTTGTAGGCTTCCCTTATAGCGAGTGGACAGAAAGCCATCAGGCTCCTGGTCTTCCAGATGCCACAAAGAGGAATGCTTTTCTCTGAGTCACTAAAACCGAAGTGTAAAGTTAATTTTTATGGTGATGTTTTTTCCTCCCTCCCCTTCTTTTTTCTTTTTAGGAGAAAGGCTCTAGTTAATAAGGATATTAGTTGCTGACGCAGATAAACATGAAAATTTCCATGTTTTAACAAAATAGCAATTTATTTTTTCACTTAATGGTTCAGTGCAGGTCTTCCTCTCAGGAAACAGCTTTCCTTCTGCCTGCTCAAAATTCCTCTGTCTTGTGGTTCTGCCATCCTTAAAATGCCTTGTGATTGACCTCTTCTAGTGGAGGGAAAGGAGAATGGAGGAGGCACTTCGTAATTGCTTTGGCAAAGAAATGATGTTACTTCTACTTACTTCCCATTGGCTAAAATTAGTCACGGGGTACTGCTTAGATGTAAGAAGGTCCGAGAAATGCTGTTTTTGGCAAAACAGTTACTTCTTAGGGACAACCTTACACTATAGAAGAAGGTGTATACATTTTGGTCAACAGTTGGCCATGTTTGCTGCAAAGGACAGTTATATTCCTGCTGCTTTTTATTTTTATTTTTTTAACGTTTATTTATTATTGAGAGACAGAGACAGAGCATGAGCATGGGAGGGTCAGAGAGAGGAGGAGACAGAATCCGAAGCAGGCTCCATGCTCTGAGCTGTTAGCACAGAGCCCGTCGCGGGGCTCGAACTCACAAACCACGAGATCATGACGTGAGCTGAAGTCAGACACTTAACCAACTGAGCCACCCAGGTGCCCCAATATTCCTGCTGTTTTTAGCTGGGAGTAAATATTGAGCTCCTTGTATGCTTTGTGAATGGAAGTGGAAGAGGAAGGTGGAGGTGGAGTATTTGATTTGTACAGTTTTTCTTTATTCAGGTCTTCAATCAATCTCTGTTCTTCTTCATTTATTCTTCTTAAAGGATGAATAGCATTTGGGTTGTTGTGAAGCACTGCATCATTTCCAGCAGGGATAACAAGGTTTTGGACTACAAATGTAGGAAATATGCTACTACATTTTGTATGACAGAGGTGGTGTCAGAGAGAAGAGTCCTGGCAGAGATAAAAATCAAGTGCACAGAAAGCTGACCAGATACCAGATAACATGAGCATTTTCTATGTATTTGGTTACTGCTTTAGCTGTTGTATGCTAAAGATTGTTAATTCCCATATGTCTGTTGCTAATTTTCCATGAGACTAGTAGTGAGTACATTTAAAATTTTGCCTCTTTGAAACGTTTCTTTTTAATTCAGCCTTTAAAAAATTAGATGGTTGGGAGCACTGGGTGACCTAGTCGGTTGAGCATCTAACTTTTTTTTTTTTTGAGCATCTGACTTTTGATTTCGGCTCAGGTCTTGATTCCAGGGTAATGGGATCGAACCCCACATCAGGCTCCACGCTGAATTTGGAGCTTGCTTGGTATTCTCCCTCTGCTCCTCTCCCTTGCTCATGTGCTCTCTCTCTCTCAAAAAAAAAAAAAAAA